ATGATTAACGCTAAATCTGGTAGCGGGGATGCGTCGTCCCGCCAGCCCATGGTGGGCCCCATGAAGAGCCTCGCCATCCGCATCATGCCCAGCCACGCGGCGCGCTCGGAGGCGCCTTCTGATGGCTCCGGCTCAGTTGACTCTGAGGCGTGCGCGGTGGTCACGCGGCTCAGGGGACGGCAACTGTCCACCTCACCGACCCTGGCCGGGCGCATCCTGAACCCATCACAGTCTCTGGAGATCCGATGCCCTCATTTTTCCCTAACCCTCCTGCGTTGGGTTCTCGTTTCGAATACAGCACTGTGGTCGCACCCTCCCGCCTCCCTCTCCTCTTCTGTCCTGCCTCTCACCTCGCTCCCTCCTGCGTGCCAGCTTGCCTCCTACCTGGCCATCCCTGGGGGACTGCGATCTGCGAACCTGTCGCCACTTTCGAGGGCTGCTGGGGGGTCAGCACAGTGGGCGCTCGCCGCAGACTCAGAATAAGACCTCGCCACCCCTGGGGGGCTGCGATCTGTGAAGCTGTCGCCACTTTCGAGGGCCGTTGGGCGACCAGCATAGCGGGAACTCGCCGCCGTCCCTGGGGGGCCGCGATCTGTGAACCTGTCGCCACTTTCGAGGGCTGCTGGGGGGCCAGCACAGTGGGTACTCGCCGCAGGGTCAGATTAGACCTCGCCATCCCTGGGGCGCTGCGTTTTTTCCTATGTTTTTTGCGTTCTGGCTTTTTCGGCTTCCGGACGCTCCAAGACGGCCCAAGAGGCCCCCAAGTCCGATCCAAGACGGCCCACGAGGCTCCCAAGGCGGCCCCGGAACGGCCCAGGAGGGCCCCCAAGACGGCCCAAGTGCCGCCCAAGACGGACCAAGAGGCCCCAAGACGGGCCCAAGAGGGGCTCAAGAGGGGAACCGAGAACTGAAAAATCGAGCCCTCCGCCCCAGAAGGCGCCCAGGAGGCCCCAAAAAGGCCCCAAGAGGCCCCCAAGAGGCCCCCAAGACGCCCCAAGAGGCCAAAAGAGGCCCCAAGAGGCCCCAAAACGGCCCCCAAGAGGCCCCAAAACTCGGCTAGCCCACAACGGTGCGACAATATGGGCCGGCGGAATGAGCGAAGCGATTAAATATACGTAGCTTCTGTCTCCGACTCAAAGTCGAATGCGACCAGATTCTTGCAAGCACCTTGAAGTCACTTCTGGCCGCCCCAATTCTCCGACTCAGTTCTGTGCCTATGCGCCCGTCCGCAGCAAGAGACGCCCCGAGATAAATTAATGATTGCTTGGCTGGGATGGGAACCTCGTTGCGTCCCAAAATATCAGCTTCGGTCCTTACTTTCATAAGTTCCAACTTGCCCCAATTAAACTGCAGCCCGCACTGGCCCCCGCACTCCTCAATGCAGCGCATCAGCTCTTGAACGAAGGCTGGGTCGGAGTCTGTGAGCAACGTGTCGTCCGCGTACACGAGCTCCCTCGCAAAATGGTTTTCAGGTATCGGTCCGTCACGACTGAAGCAGCGCGTGCGCGTCCGTGAGAAGCGTCGTCATCACAATGGTGAACAGAAAAGGGGACAGCGGACAGCCTTGACATATGCCGTACCTCTGCTGATGGATGCTGGACGTGGCCCCGAAGTCCCTCACGACGAACTTGCGCTCGCTGTAAATCGACACGACGACGTCCACGAAAACTTCTGGGCAACCAAATCTCCGCAAAGACCCGGCGAGCGCGTCCGGCGAGACCGAATCGAATGCCTTGGCCCAGTCGAGTGCCAGGAACAAGCGACTTGCATCTCGTGTTGACCATGTGTCGTCCAGCACCCGGCGTGCTAGGAACACTGCGTCTGCCGTGCCCTGCCCGGAGCGGAACCCGAATTGGGTTCGCCAGATGCGGTCTTCGGCCCCCGCCTGCTTCAGCCTCTGGAGCAGGATGGTTGCGAACAATTTGTAGCCGATGGGCGAGATACTGATGGGGCGGTAGTTCTCGCATTCTGCAGGGTCGCCCTTCCGACACCCTCGCATGCCTCCAAGCTTCTGGGATCTTACCTTGTCTCCAAACGTCTGTGTAGAATTTTGCCAGATAGCTCGGGAGACCTCCCGCGTCGCTCGCCGCTGCTTTCCAGAATTCGGGTGGCACCCCGTCAAGGCCAGAAGCGCGTCCTCGCTTCAATTTCGCAGCTGCGGCCTTCACCTCCCCCACTGTGATATCACCCATGGAGATGGACAGGTCGTTGTCGGCAATCCGGGCAGCAACTGGCGGTGCCACTGACGTGGGTCTGACTGCCCACTGCACCCTCTCGAGGTAGTCGGCCAGAGTCTCAGCACGCTGGTCCGTTTCCACAATGCCCTTGTTGACGTCACGAAGCCTGCCCTGTCTGCGGACAGGGCCTTTCCGGAGCCTCCGAATCTGATTCCAATCAGCGGATTCCGTGACCGATTCGATCCAAGCGGCCTTGTCCCTGGCAACCGAAGCGCGGATTTTCTTCGACAGGCGCTTCTCCTCGTCAGTGTCGCCCTGCCTTCTGGAGCTCCCACGGCGCTCGATCAGCCCCAGCGTTCCGGCGCTCGTCCACGGCCTTGTGGTCCGCCTCGGAAGGAATGTCAACGTGCGTTCGGCAGCGTGATGAAAACCGTCCACGATACGACTCCAACCAAGATCGACATCCTCGCCTCCAGCTGCTGTGTCCTCGAAGCCCTCCAAAGCATTCAACATGTTCACGTTGAAAAAATAAGCGGCGAGTGGGTCGGAGAGGGCTGTGACATCAAGGCGTGGACTCTGACTCGCAGGCGCCGTCTTCTCCAATGACATACGGACACACGCAGTCAACAAGAAATGATGGGTCGACAACGGCACGTCGTGCCTAGCAGCCACGCCAGTGATGTCCTGGAGAAAAGTCCTCTCGCAGAGTACGAAATCGATCTGCGAGTGCGTCGAGGATCCAATTTGTAGCCCGGCATGCGTGCCCACGTTGTAGTTGGTGACAAGGCTGTGATCCGGCACGTCAAAAAATGTGTTTGCAACGCACATGCTCAGATTCTCGCACATCTCAACCATGAGGTGCCGGTTGGCGTCTTCCTTGCACGTTTGGTGGGGGTGCTTGAAAATGTAGGGCCCCACCGCGTCACTCTCTCCATCGAGTTGGCCATACAACTTTGCATTCATGTCTCCTAACACAAGCTTGGGTCCATGAGCGGATCTTGTGGAAACGAATTCTGACAAGCTCGTGAAGAAGTCAAACCGCCGCTGGGACTCGTAACCGCTGTGCGGCGCGTATGCAGAGAAAATAACAGCTCTACCTCCTGGGATCCGAAGCTTGAGCGATGCCATGCGGTCCGCCGCCTGGCAAAATCCAACCACAGAGTGCCTGAAACTTGGATGCACGATGAAGCCCACTCCAGCCCGCTCGTCCTCTGGGTCTCCCGCGCCGCCGGAAAGGACAACGAGGCAGCCGGAATCCGTGACGTTCGTGCTAGACTTTGATGTCCATGTCTCCTGTAGGCACAAGATCTTGATATTTAATTGATCCATTATGGATTCTAGCTCAATTTGTTTCGAGTCTGTATGCCCTTCGATGCTCCAAGATGCAATGTTGAATTCGTCAGCCGTGGCAGGGCGTAAACGACCACCCCGAGCCGCAGAAAGTGACAACGTGGCTTGGCCAGCTGGATGTCCACATACCGCAGGTGAAACGTCATTGCTCACGCACTGTTGGCGCCCCAGCAGCCCTCTAAAGTGGAAGGCCCTTGGGGCGTCTTGGAGGCCTCTTGGGCTGTCTTGGGGCCCTGTTGGGCGTCTTCGGGCGATCTTTGGCCGTCTCGGGGCCCTCTTGGACCGTCTTGGAGGCTTCTTGGGGACCTCTTGGCCCGTCCTGGGGCCCTGTAACAGAACTCCGGCATCTCTGACCCGACCTTGCCGGGACCTTGCCGGGGTACTTTCGTCCGGGGACCCCCAGGGGCCGCCCCGCGCGCGCGAACTAGAAATACTGTAAACCAGGTACCGGAGATCTTAGCACGCCCTGGCCCGTTGGGCCGGCGAATTTAATGCTTGCATTGTTTCCAAACTCACGTATGTATTATTCACTGCGTGTCTTAACCAAGCCGAGCGAAGACGGCTCGACGGGTTCCAGAATTATTGTCTCAGACGAATTTGCAGAGTCTCACCGTCGTACATCAGTCGGGTGTCGAACCGTGCAGTTCTGCAGATCAGCCAACAGACGCCTCTGAGCCATAGTCTTGCGCGTAGACAGATGTTGTACATGGGCCATTTGGCGAGAAGACCAGACGAGGATCCAGTCAGAAGCTCGGTATTTGAGCCGGGCGGTCTGGTTCTCAAGAGCCTTCTCGGGAAAAGGAGAAGAGGCCGCCCGAGACAGTCTTGGGGGCCCATGGTACTGAAGAACTGCTTGAATGTTGCCGGCTCCCATGAGCGACTTGCTGATTACTTCCGCCGGTAGGGCGGTGCAGCTCGCAGGTGGGAGCAGGCGGTCAAGGCATGGGCGGCGTGCTGAAGGCATCCGTTTCTGTGCACATTTTCACCCATTGCTCACGCGCTGTGGCCGGCGCAAGGCTTCTGGACTGGACTGGATTGGGGGGCCAGCACAGTGGGTATTCGCCGCAGATTCAGATTAGACCTCGCCGTCCCTGGGGGTTGCGATCCGTGAAACTGTTGCCCTTGTCGAAGGGTGCTGGGGGGCCAGCGTGGTGGGTACTCTCCGCTGACTCAGATTCGACGTCGCCATCCCTGGGGCGCTGCGATCTGCGAAACTGTAGCCACTTTCGAGGGCTGCTGGGGGGGCCAGCATAGTGGGTCCTCGCCGCAGGCGCAGATTAGACCTCGCCGTCCCCGGGGGGCTGCGATCTGCGAAACAGTCACCACTTTCGAGAGCTGCTGGGGGGCCAGCGTAGAGACGTCGTACGCGGACTCCAGCCAGCGTAGTGCGTACTCACCGCAGATTCATATTAGACCTCGCCATCCCTGGGGGGCTAGGATCTGTGAACCAGTCGCCACTTTCGAGGGCTGTTGGGGGGGGCCAGCACAGTGGGTACTCGCCGCAGATTTAGATTAGACCTCGCCGTTCCCGGGGGGCTGCGATCTGTGAAGCTGTCGCCACTTGCGAGGGCTGCTGGGGAGTCCAGCGTAGTGACGTCGCACGCGGACTCATTCGATGCTGGGGGTCCAGCGTAGTGGGTATTCGCCGCAGGCTCAGATTAGACGTCGCCATCCCTGGGGCGCTGCGATTTGCGAAACTGTCGCCACTTTCGAGGGCCGCTGGGGGGCCAGCGTAGTGGGTACTCGCAGCAGATTCAGATTAGACCTCGCCATCCCTGGGGGGGCTGCGATCTGTGAAACTGTCGCTACTTTCGAGGGCTGCTGGGGGGGCAGCACAGTGGGTATTCGCCGCAGATTCAGATTAGACCTCGCCGTCCCTGGGGGCTGCGATCCGTGAAACTGTTGCCAGTTTCGAAGGGTGCTGAGGGCCAGCATAGTGGGTACTCGCCGCAGACGCAGATTAGACGTCGCCATCCCTGGGGCGCTGCGATTTGCGAAAGTGTCGCCACTTTCGAGGGCTGCTGGGGGGCCAGCATAGTGGGTCCTCGCCGCAGGCGCAGATTAGACCTCGCCGTCCCTGGGGGGCTGCGATCTGTGAAGCTGTCGCCACTTTCGAGGGCTGCTGGGGGGTCCAGCGTAGAGACGTCGTACGCGGATTCAACTTCGACCTCGCCATCCCTGGGGGGCTGCGATCTGAGAAACTGTCGCCACTTTCGAGGGCTGCTGGGGGGTCCAGCGAAGTGACCCCCCACGCGGATTCAAATTCGGCCTCGCCATCCCTGGGGGGCTGGGACCTGCGAAACCGTCGCCACACGCGGACTCAAATTCGACGTCGCCATCCCTGGGGGGCTGCGATCCATGAAACTGTTGCCCTTTTCGAGGGCTGCTGGGGGGCCCATTACGCGGACTCAAATTAGACCTCGCCATCCCTGGGGGGCCGCGATCTGCGCATCCTTCGCCACTTTCGAGGGCCGCAGAGGGGGTCCCGCAGTGCGCTGTCGGGGTCCGCGCGCAGACCTGCGGCGCGTCTTCGAGTATTTAGCTCCCGCATTGACCAATGCAGGAAGGTGGGCGAGCTAGGCTTCGCTCGCTCTAGCACTGAAAGTCAGCAGGTAAAATCATTTTGTCGAGTGCCACGGCGTCATGGCGCAGGCAGCGCTGCATCTTTAGCGTACTACCGACAAAGGCAACAGTCTTCGGTCTCCTCCCGTCACTTTCGTCGTCGTCCTCTGCCCTCTGCCACCTTCCCTTTGCTGCTGCCGCGCTGACGGTTCGGCCCCTCGCGCGCCTTTCTTTTGCCCATCCTTTTCCGCCCCCAGGTCCTCCTCAAACCTGGGCCTTCGCTCCTCGTCCTTCTGTTCTTGTCCTGTGAATCGTGCCACGTGAGCGCTCCTGATGTAGCTTGCGCAACCTATAACGGCGCCTGCACTGTCATTGCCCTGGCAGTTTCTGGCCAACTTGTCTTGTCACTTGATGCAAATTGGTTGGGTACGTCGCAGGGTAGTCCAGTACGGGACAGGGTAATTCAATACGGGATCTCTGGAAGCCCCGACCCGCCGCCCCCCAGGACCGGCTTTTCACCCCGAGTCGTTTGTCGACGGTGTTGGGGCCCGCCGAGGGCTTCCAGAGGCCGAGGCTAGCGAAGAACCTCCGATTTGATTTCTGTCGGTGCTCTGGATCTCTGGGTCGGTGCATCTGCCTCCCTGGCTGGGCTTATGTCGGGCCTGTCCCTCTACAGGAAAAATATTTCAAAAAACAGTCCAACAACAGTATGGGGACTATTTTATTGACTATTTTTCCATTTTGGGATATTTTTGACCCTTTTTATTTTTTGTAAACTCCCCCTGTAGGTGGAGATGCGGGACCGAAGGCCAGGCCTGGAGGGCGCGCGAGCATCGATGCTGGCCCAGGGTGTGGGCCCAGCCAGGATCGGCGAGGTGGGCCGTTGGCCCTGCCCCGAGAGGAGGGAGCAGTGCGAGGACGACGTCCGGGCTGTGCCTTCCACCGCTTCGAAGGTGCTATCGGCGGCGAGGTTTCGCGCTCGAGGCTTCGAGTTCGAGGTTCACGTTTTCGGTCGTTTTCGTCGGTCTTCGGCGGCTTGCCAGCCTCGGGGTACGTTCCGGCAGCTGCGCCTCGCCGAGGGCGTTCGTTCTGGGGGTGCCGGGATCGTCCTGAACGGCCGCCGGAGACCCGAATTATGACCCGAAAACCTGATTCGGCGGCGGCAAGCCAGAGGGGAAGTGAGAAGGAGAAGGCCCTTTCAGAAGGTGGCGGGACTTCTCAGAAGCCCTCGCGCCTTCTGAGAAGTGTTCTATGTCTTCGGAGCTAGCTCAGGAAACTTCTCAGAAGGCCGGGGGGACTTCCGAGACTTCTGAGAAGGCCCCCCTTCTCACTTTCCGTGGTCTCACCGTCGATTCCTAGGCCTCTCAGATGGGGTTCGATTACAGTCGAGGGTGATCAGTAGGTCGACCCTGCCAAATCAAGGGTACCCTTTTGTCCTGTGTTTCGTGACCCATGCATTCTGCTTTCCTGTGGCAATGTGGCCCTCGGAAGGGTCGCGTGTCCTCTCGCGTGTCCTCTCCAATCGACTCCAACTAACCCAGTGCCCCGGATAATAATGTACCCCCCCCTTTCCCCCCTGTATCCTCTTTATCCCGTGTCAATAGGATTTAATTGTGGAGAGGGGCGCAGAGGCCGAATTTGATAATCAACGGGGCAAGTTGCGAATCGAAGTTGCTATCATCTCATGTTGACTAGCAACAGCATCAACAACGTTGAGCATGGCAATGGTGGTCTCACCATTTCAGCTTCTGCAATCACGAGCGTGTAGCAGGGCTATGGGATTCTCACCATTCCATTTTTCCCAAGTCACGAACGTGCGGCAGGGCCATGGGATTCTCACTTTCTCAGCCGTTCCCGAGTCAGGAACCTGTGGCAGGCACCGAGCAGCACCCATGATGATGATGATGATGATGATGATGGTGGTGGTGGTGGTGGTGATGATGATGATGATGATGATGATGATGATCATCATCATCATCATAATCGTAATCATCATAATCATCAGCATCAGCATCAGCACCAGCATCAGCATCAGCATCATCACCAACATCAGCATCATCACCATCAGCATCACCATCACCATCAGCATCAGCATCAGCATCAGCATCAGCATCAGCATCATCATCATCATCATCAGCAGCATCATCATCATCATCATCGCTGGGAAGGTCGTTCATGATCCCCGCCAGACCCCCTAACTTTATTATCCCCAGGGGATCATTATCGGGAGCACTCGGTTAAACGGGGTCGGATGCGACTAGACGTCGGGCCGCAACGCCGATGCATCGGCGTTGCGGCTCGATGTGGAGCCCGATGTTATCCGCGCCGAATTCGCCGATCATCCGACCCCATCTACTCGGACACTGTCTGGGAGGCCTCTCAAGGTGAGCACTATGCAATGGAGGGAGGGGAAGCGGCGGCACCCCTTTAGGAGGTGCTGCTACTCCACCTCGGCCGTGACCTGCCGGCTAGTGGCTGTTTTGGTGGCAGTGGCGATTGGCGCCGTCTGGGCGCCTTCCGCCCTGCTCGCCAAGCAGGAGCCAGGGGCGGCCCCGAGGGCGTGATGATCCGGAGGCTGACGCCGCACCGCCAACCCCTTGGTCCTTTTTCTTCAACGCCTTCGAATGCGAACTGGCTGCTCGAAGTCTAATCCTCCTCCTCCTCGTCCTCCTCCTCCTCCTCCTCCTCCGAAAGCGACGACACGGAAATCTTGGGCTGACAGGGGGAGAGCAGGGTCGCGCGTCCAGAGACGCGCCGCCTCGCCAGGCGGTTGTGCGTGGGCGGAGGCAGGCGACGGGCCTCCTCTCTTCGGCCAGGGGAGGGGGTGCTGACTGGGGAGTGGGCGTGTGTGTGTGTGTGTGTGTGTGTGTGTGTGTGTGTGTGTGTGTAGCTCGTCGATTGCCCCGAACAGCCACGCGCCAGAGCGGACTGCCTCTGCCGCGCCGTCGACGAAACAAGAAAAGTGTGCGTGTGTGTGTGTGTGTGTGTTTTTGAGCGGGTATCTCTTTGTCTCTTCTTCTCTTCCCCGCTACTGCGCGCTCGGCCGCCGGCCGCTGGCCGCGCGCCTGACGGTGTGGCGACTCGCCCACCCGCAACGCCCAAAAGCGTGTGTGTGTGTGTGTGTGTGTGTGTGTGTGTGTGTGTGTGTGTGTGTGTGCATGTCGTCTTTCCTCTTGCGCGCCGGACAATTCGCCTTTCGGTTGCCTCGATTCGTCTCACGATGGTGCGGACTTCCTCTGCCTCGCCACCGACGAAAAGAGTGTGGGTGCATATCGTGGCAGGGGCCATGATACCTCCTCGGAGTTCATGGTGCCTCCTCCCGTTTCAGCACGCACGTTGGCCTCCCCGGAGCCGCGCACATGCCTCAAGCCGTGGTCCGCGGCTACCCCTCTTGGCTGCCCCTCCTCCTGGGCGCCCCCAGAGGAGCTGGTGAGCACGAGCGAGTCCCAGCTGGCCAGCTCGGTGGAGCAGGCGTCGAAGGAGCTCCTGGGCTACCTGCAGGTGGCCTCGTCCCACGCGGAGGCCGGCCAAGGGCGAAGAGGGGCCCTCGCCAGAGCGGCCTCTGGTGCGCGGCGCCCCTCGAAGAAGAGATCCTGGCATAAACATGCTTTTTCGGAGTTCCGCGTGGATTTCCGGATCGGCGCTGGGGCCCCTCGGTCGGCGCCTCCAGCGCCGCCCCTGGCGCGTTCTGCGCGCCAGGGAGGGGGGGCCCCAGCGCCGATCCGCGAACTTCGCGCGGATCTCCGAAAGTTCATGCTCGTGCAGCTTGATTTCCCCTATCCTGAGACTGGGTTCTTGTTATGTCTGGGACGCCTCCGCCTCACACTCATGCGCTTCTTGTTCTCGTATCCTAAGATCTGCTTTCAAGACTCAATCATATTCAGACTCACTCGAACTCAGACTCACTCCTA